TGACTTTTTAAGATAGCTACAATTACCCAAATTCATCTTGAGTTGTCAATTAAAATGGTCCAAGTTTGTCGTCTTACATGAATCACCCTCTATGTTTTTATCAGTAATTTCTAATTTTTGTAAAAATTATTTCGCAATGAGATTTGTGAAATTTAATATTAACTGTGTTTAAGTTTTACAAAAAAAAAAAGAGTTATGAAAGAGAATCCCACAACTTCAACAACCTGTACGTTTTTGTCAAATTTAAGTTAAAAAATATTTTTTAGGAACTGTTTTTTGAGGTTTGAAACCATATTTTGCAACGTTTTACACTTTAAAAAATTACAATACGACCTTTTTTTTCATTACATTTTATTCAATTAAATTATTTTTTTTTTTTAATTTCAAATGACTTTTCTATTTATTGTTGTCAATTAAGATGTCCAAGTTTGTCGTCTTCTTATATGAATCACCCTGTGTTTTTTTTTATGAAACTATGTAATTTTAAATTCTTGGAAAAGTATTTCGCAAGGAGTTTACTTTACCACTCTTTTATTAAAGCTAATAGAATTAAACTAAGTTCTATAAGAATATATTTTCTCAAATTAAAAATACTTCAAAATGCTTTATTTTTTTATAAAATGGATTTTTTTAATTTCAAGTGAGTTTTCGTTTTGTTCTTAGAGTATTTAAAGTCAATTCACTGATGTTTATAGCACACGGCATTGTACATACAGTGTACTTAGAATGGTGGTGAACCATCGTATAAAGTATTTAACAAACAAAATCAATAATAAATTAAATCCGACAACATCGGAAACAAAAAAGCTAACGTGCCTGTATGATAATATGAAAATTGTCAGCTTTGTCAGTTTTTTCAAAAAGGAAGCTTGAAAAAAAATCTACATTCATTTTTACTTAGCTGAAATTCTTCTACCACTATTTGAGTGTATAAAAAAATCTAATAATAGATGAATACTAACATTTAAAAAATGAGTACTCAAACAGTTTATTTCCGAATTAGAAAAAAGGTTTGTAATAAAAAAAATCAACAGTGATATTACAAGAGTGATGATAATAATTTGGACCAGAACTATTTGCCTGGTAATGATCCTTATTTCTAAATCCAATTTACCGAATTGACTAAAAAGTTAGTATGTAATTCTGGATGTTAATCCTTTGTCCAAATCGTAAAATGTGCGAAACTTAGAGTTTCCTGGTGATTTCAGAATGTAAAGCTGACGCCGGAAAATTCGGGTGCGACCGCGACAGTTGCATGCGCGTCCTCTGGTGTTACCTTTTTCCCTGTGCTTTGATCGAAAGCTGCTTCGTGGCGATTTGCGACTGCTGGTGGGAATGTCTTAGCGGATGTCTTCGTCGCATGGAAGAGCACTATACGTTCCAATGTTGCGAAAGATGTTGTAAACTGGAAGAGAATTAAAGAGTTAAAATAACATGGTTAGTTGATGAGATCCGTGATGTTTTATCAACAGCTAGGCAAAGTATGCAGGAATGGGTATGATGGGTGAGCAGCAGGGGTCGCCCGGAGTCCGCGTGACTGCGATGGTGCGTGGCGACTTAATGCCCTCTGACACAACGCTTCCTCAATCCGCAACCACGCTACCAGCTCCTATCAAATAGAAATATTTAATTATATATAAGCAGCTACATGTGAATTACTGTACTTTTAATGATGCACTTCCTGCATACAAGATAAAATCATTCCGCGCCTTCTCGATAACTAAAGTATTTTTTTGGTGAAAAAATTGATAGCAGTTTGAAATGTTGTCAAAATTTTGACTTTTATAAATCTTGTCTCAGTGTGGCCAGGTCTTGTGAAATTTCAACTGATCTGATGATTTTTTCTAAAAATTCAAATATCAGGTAATTTTTTGAAAATGAAAAAAATTGTAACTTTGCAGTTACACTAATAATAATACACTAATCTTTCAATTATTGATATAGTAAATTAGAGCAAATATAAATGATACTATTTTTGCTTCTTTTTCGAGGATTTCCCACGTTTTTATTTTATTTCTCAAAATTTTGTAAAAATTTAGCCAAAAATAGGCCAAAAACGGTGTAATTTTTAACTTTTTCGAGTCTTTAACCACATTTTTGAGATGAAAACAAAAAAATCAAAACAGGGTAAAAAATTACAAAATTAAATTGAAATTGATATGTATTTTTTAGCTTGTTACTTCGTTTTTGAACTCTTAGAGGCTCACAATCATCAAAACCTCAAAAACATTAATAATAATAATCTATTCATATCTTAATAAAAAAAAACATTTTACACAATTATTTTGCAAAATATTATTAGAAATAAGACAAGAAATGACAGAAGAACTAAAATGACGTCATTTTTGCTTTTTCGAAAATTTAAGCAGATTTTTAAGCCGAAAACTCGCGTTTTTACTAAAATTCAAATTCACTAAATTGTTGTAACTTTGCAGTTACAAAAAAAAATAATACACTAATCTTTCAATTATTGATATTGTAAAATAGGTCAAATATAAATGATACTTTTTTTGCTTTTTTTTCAAGCATTTTCCACGTTTTTTAACCAGAAATTTGCTTATTTCGTCAAATTTTCTTTTAAAAAATAAAAAGTTGTATTTTCTTGAACTGTGATTGATAAGAGAAAGGTTGTTGGAAAATAAAGTCTAGTTAAAAGCTTCAGTATAATATGACGTTTCAATAGTACATTTCCATTTTCTTTAGATATAAAAAACAAAAAACGTGTCTAAAATTCACGACACTGCCACGTGTGTGGTGGAAGGAAGTCTTCCTTGAAACATCATATTATACTGAAGTTTTAAACTGGACTCTATTTTGCCATAACCTTTCTCTTTAAAAAAATTGTTCTCTTTGTTTTTTTACGACATTTTACTAAACAGGGTCGAAAATGACAATTTACTTTTGTCTTTTTCGAATACTTTACTAGGAATGTACGTTTTTCAGCTAGATAAACAATTATTTCTCAAAATTTCGTAAAAATCAAGCCAAAAATTCAACATAACGGTGTTATTTTTCCCTTTTTTGAGTCTATAACCACATTTTTGAGATAAATACAAAAAAAAACAGGGTAAAAAATTATAAAATCAAATCAAAATTGATATTATTTTTTAGCTTGTTTTTGTTGTGTTTTTTTTAACGAAAATCGTGAAAAAATTGGTAGCAGTTTGAAATGTTGATATTATTTTTTAGCTTGTTTTGTTCGACTTACTAAAGTGTTTTTTTAACGAAAATCATAATGTCAAAATTTTAACTTTTATGAAGTTTATGTCAGTGTAGCCAGGTCTGGTGATTTGGTAAAACTTTTCTGAAAATTCTAATACCAGGTAATTTTTTGGATAAAAAAAATTAACCTTGCAGTTACAAAAACAATAATACACTAATGTTTCAATTACTGATATAGTAGTAAATTAGGTGAAATTTGCTTCTCTTTCGAGCATTTTCCACGTTTTTCAACCAGAAATTTTATTATTTTGTCAAATTTTCTTTAAAATAATAATTTTGTTTGTTTTTTTCGAGATTTTACTAATACTTTACTAGGTACGTTTTTCAGCTGGATAAAGAATTATTTCTCAAAGTTTCGTAAAAATCACGGCAAAAATGGTGTTATTTTTGCCTTTTCCGAGTCTTGAACCTCATTTTTGAAATAAAAACAAAAAAAAAATATCAAAACAGGGTAAAAAAACTACAAAATGAAATCGAAATTGATATTATTTTTTAATTTGTTTTGTTTGACTTACTTCGTTTTGAACTATCAAAATCTTATTATTATATTATATCAAAATATTATTAACAATAATAATAATAGTCTATTCATATCTTAATAAKAAAATCATTTACACAATTATTATGCAAAATATTATTAAAAATAAGACAAGAAATAACAGAATTAGACGGGAAATGATGACATTTTTGCTTTTTCGAAAATTTAAGCAGATTTTTAGGCTGAAAACTCACGTTTTCACTAAAACTAAAATTCACTAAATTGTTATAAAAAAAATTATTTAAATTTCTTAGGCTTTAACCATTCAGTTTATGCCTAAAAACGTAAATTTCAATTAAGACCGAAATTAGACGAGAAACCACAAAATTTGGTCGAAAATGCTTTGAATCCCGTTTTTGCACTAAAATCTAGATTTTGTTAACATAATCCAAAAAAAAAATTATATTATTTTTGTATTTTTCGAGCATCTTAGCTCGTTTTAGATCAAAATTTTATTAAAACAAGTCGAAAAATTACAGAATTTGGCAGAAAATAATGTCATTTTTGCTTTTTTAAAAAATTTAACAGATTTTTAGACTGAAACTCGCGTTTTTCGCAAGATTTTGATATAACAAATTAAAAAATCACTAAATTGTTATTACAAAAATATTTTATATTTTATCTAAGTTTCTTAGGTCTTAACCATTCAGTTTACACGAAAAAACGTTAATTTCAACAGTATTGAAAAAAATTAGATTGTAATCCTGTTATCTGAAAATAGGTGTAAATTTAGTAGCATTTTCAGCTCGAATTTGGTGAATTTGAGTTTTTTTGAACTGGCAACACTATTTTGTGTGCATCTTTGCTTTTTGAAAGCGTCATAATCACTACCTAATGTCTAAATGCAGAATTTAGGGCTACTATTAATATTGATAGAGACACACTGCAAGTAAGTACAAAATTGTGGGCAAAAATGTGCTTTTTACTACAAAAACTTTAATGAAAAAGGGTGTCTATACAGAAAAAAGTTATTTTGCAAAAGGTACAAGCAGATATTATGAAGATTGGCAATAAATTTTGTATAATTTATTGAAATGAGCTCAAAGTTGATATATATTCTAAATTCTTTTTCAGCTTTACTTTTAAAATTGTTACTTTTTCAACTCGTTTTTCAAAAACACTAATTCAACTGCATTCTTTCATGTTTATTTTGTATTGACAGATTTTGTATCAAGTTGAGTTTTGTCTTCGTATTTAAATTTTCCGGAAACCGGAATTGCCAACTTTCTTTATTAAAATTACCAAAAAAGAATTTATTTGACATTTCCGTTTAAAAATTTAACTAATTCACTTTTTCATCCATTAAAGTAATTAAAAGATTACACTCGTAGATAAGATCATTTTGATTTACGCCGGGTAGTGGGTTTCCAACAAAGTAAAGCACCGAGTGAAAAATTGAAGCAGTGTAACGTCTGCTCCTCATATGGAGTGAATGATGGAGTGGCTTAATTATAATTTATATTTTGTGTTTATTTATTTATGTGTGTTGGAGGTAGCTGAACATACAACGGAAGCAAGTTTGTCGGACAGTATAAACTGGATGGTTCAATCAATCAATGAACTTATGATATAAATACTCTTCAAAAATTACGACGCTACTCGCCATCCTACACAATCAAAAACGCCTACATTTCCTAAATGAAAAATTGATTTGAAACATTTAAATAAATTTAAACTCGTGATTTGTAATGTATTAGAGCTGTCAGTGATAATTAATAAACAATAAACTTTGATGATGTTTTAACAATGTATGTAAAAATATTCGTTTCATCATTTTTGATCGTTGCCTAAATTGACATAAATTATACGCTGATGAACCATTAGATATTTTCATCTTTTAAATTGTACATCATTGTTACTGACTTTCTATTTAGCGCATAACATTAAACCAAAACACATTTAGATTCAAATACAATGAAATTATATAAGGATTATTAATTTTGACTCCATTCAAACACAATTTTTAGTTCACTTACGTAGGAAACGTGAGAACAAAGGACCATTAAATGTAAAACAACTTCATTAGTTTAAATGTGTTTATTTTGGCAAGTAATTGAAAAGTCAGGTCAACACCTCTGTATTTACCATATAAAAATTTAAGCAAATTGTTATTTTGTAACAATTGATTGATTTTATTAGATTTTTACATGAGTAATTTAAAAAACATTTGTAAAAATTTGAAAAAAATATGCAACCAATTTGGCAACTTTACGGTCTATTTCAATTAATGACATATGAGTCCGAAAAAGTACTACTTTACGGACAATTTTGGGTTACTTACTTGTAACGATTATTAACACTTATTAATACTTTATTTGCCGTACATTTTTGTTAAAAACATTGCCATAATCGTTACAAMTTTATTATTTTATTCCAAAAAATTGTGAGCATTGAAATTAGATCCATATAATTAAATATTATTAATTAAAATAATTTATGACTTGTTAAGTTGTTAAATTGGAAAAATAATCTACGACACTAGAGGGCCAAAAATTTAAATCTAGAACTGGACTAATTAACGGGTGTTTTTTTTTTTTTTTTAATTTGGCGTCAAAGCTAACCATGAAAGTCTGAAAGTCTCGATTGACTAAATTTACATTTTTGAAATTTGAGCTTTTCTATTTAAGAAATTTTTAAACGTTTTTGCAAATTTAGATATTGTTTAAAATAATATTTCTAAACACTTCTTTAGTTTCCCCTACTGTCTTTTGCAACACGATGTTTTAAAAAAGTTTCAAATG